TTCTTTCTTTTTTTTTTGTCTTCGTTTTTGTGCCTTCGCTCCCTCGCCTCACTTCTGGTGTTTGATTCGGTTTTACGGGCGGCGGGGCGACGCGACGGCAAACGACTAACAACTGGAGGCGGACACAAAAAAAAAAGAAAGCGGAACATCACCTTCTGTTTATTTGCTGCGGGGCCAGGGGTGTAGCACAGCCGCACGTACAGTATCTCCGTCAGCAGCACTACTCACCATCACTGCCACCACCGTCGCCTTCCTCTCGAGGCGTTAGTGAGTGATACGTTTCATTGCTTCCCCCCTTGCTAGATACTTCACTGGTGCTGCTCTCATCACCTACGGCAGCGTGAAGCGACACAAGAGGGGATTAAGGACCGGCAAAGAGACTGAAAAGGGAGATAACACAGTAACGATGAGCTTCTACTGTGCAGTAGGTGTGTATCTCTGTGTGGCGAGCTTCCGATGAGCGGGAAAGATAGAGAATGTGTGGGTGCATGACCTAAAAGTCGTGCGCCAACAAGCGCTTGCTAAAGGCGTTGTATTTTCCCTATCTCCCGGAGAGGCTGTGCCGCCGCCCCTCTCCGAATCCCTTACCCTTCTAACTCAGCTGCTATAATTTCCCTTTGCTTGCTTATTGGATTGCTGGAGGAGCAACTGAGACTCACCTTCTTTTTTTGTTGTTTACGTGTATGCTTACTTAAGTTTCATCATTATCAGTTTATTCGTTCTATTTTACGTGGACCCCGCTTTTTTTTTTCCTCGTGCTTCCCCCCTCGATTTTGTGCAAATGGATACTGAAGCAAAATACAATCAACAATACGTTTATTACTTCAAGACGACATCTATTGTCTGCTGCCGAGTTCCGTAGGGAAAAACTAATGAGAGAAAACAAAAAAAACACCAAAATGGGCTCTAGCACAACTGCCTCTACACAATTGCGCAGTTCCATGTAAATATTTCTGCATAGTCCGCATCCAATCTTTACCTGGTCTGGTTTGTCCATGGATGCGGCCACAGTCGCCGTTACCAAAACGCCAGTGAAGCCCCGGATAGAGAGTGGAAAAAAAAAGAGAATCTGGGAAGAATAATAAAGCGAACCACCATTTTAATGTATGTATGCTTTCTAACCCAGTCGAATGAAGAATGTAGAATAAAGCTGTAAGGATTGTTGTTGTTGCTTTTTTTTCCGCGGTGTCTGTGGACCTGGTTGATGGACCCCGCGCTTCCCCCCCCCCCTCTTTTTTTTTGTCTGTGTGTATGTGTGTGCTGGCACGAGTGGAAATCCCCTCTCCCCAGTGATTTGCGCGGGCGCGCGCCCAAGTTGGCGAGTGAGGCGGCGTGGGCTGTGAGAAAGAAATAAAAGTGCTGTGCGGCGCCCAGTCACACCTGTCGTCCATCACTGTAGTTGTGAGTGGGAGGACGGCAGCACGGAGGCGCTAATGCCCGCGCATGGG